GGGGGGGGGGGGGGGGTAGGGTTGTTATATTTAACTGATGTTTTTTTTCAAAGAGGCAAAGAAATTGTAAGGCTTAGGCCCTGATCTTTCAAATACTGAAGACCATGTTCACTCCACAAGTGCAAATCAAGACAAGAAGACCATTTGCATTTGTGAAATTAAGCCTATGCAGAACTGTTTGCAGCATCAGAACTTGTAGATGAGTGTCTGCAGGATCAGGGTCTTAGCTTCTCTCAAAGCTTGATGTTAATCAAGACATTCTGCAACCAGCTGAAGATAGGGCTCATGACACTGTTCTGCTCTGCAATATATATCTACAGTATGTAATTGTTAGAAAAATGATGTAATCACCTTCTTTTTTTCCTATGCAGCTGCTGTTAATAGCAATGGGAGATCATCTTATGCATTGTGATGAACGAATGGTTACTGTTGTACTGTAATTTTTTAAATGCCAGTTTCCATTAGCACATGCACTCTGGTGTCTCATCGCCGATGCATTTCCATCTATTTTACAGCTAATGGGTTTCCCGCCCCTTGGGTTGTGAGATACTTTCAAACATTTGGTTCCCTACAATTAATATTCTGGTTTTCTAAATAGCAGTTACAGTTAAAGTTACAGCAGCAGCAGCGACAGCTGAGTGGTCACAAGTGGGCTGATTAGCAGAGGCATAGCAGGTGCTGCTGTGTATCACCACAAGTCCTGAGCTCATAGTTATTTCCTCTGGTGACTGCTAGTGAGTTACAAGTGTCAAGACTGTGAAAGGGACACTGTCAGTTGACTTAAGCTCCAAGTTCAGCGTTCGTGAAAATACTAACAAATCCAAGACAACTGTGCCAAGGCCAAGGAGGCCTTGCAGTTCCTGTGACATACAAGCTTGCTTCTGGGAGAAGCGAGTATATAGCATCACCTCATCCCCTTTTCAGACACCCTGTGCTTCCTGAGGTAATCTGGGGACTAATTTCTCTCTCCCTCAGAAACTATGTGGATACCTTAAGATACTCTGCTCTTATGAGGTCACTCATGTAGTATGTGTGTGTGTGTGGTGCGTGTAGAGGGGGTGTAGAGCTTAATAGTATAACCACCATCTCTTGTAACCTCCACCGTGAAATTCAGAAGAGCTGGGCTCATCCTTGGCTCTGCCACTAATTTACTGGATGGCTTTAGTAAAGTCTCTTCTCCTCTCTGTGCCTGAGTTGACCCATCTCTAAAATGGGGATAATAACAATGACCTCCCTTGAGATCTGCTGATGCACAGAGCCAGGCATAGTTGTTAATATAAACCACTCACTGTGCTAGGAGGCTTTGCATAACTGCTAGTCACATTAGGAGATTTAAAGTCAGTATTATTTGAGTTTGTGACTGACTTTGTTGAAAGAATGCTAACTGTCATATTGAATGAAATAGTTTGAATATTTGTAAAGATTGCCCATTAGCCAGTTTCAGGAAGAAGATAGAATCTATCTCCTTATCTAGCTCATTGTTTCGGAGCTACGTGCAAAATGTCCTGACTTCGCCTAAAACCTTAATCTAAATTGTACCTTTAGAAGTTTTTTACAAAGAAAGTAAATGTCCTAAATTCCGAGATATCAAAGCCTAAGGCCTTTTAACCAGACTGGTAAAAAGAAAAGAGTATTTACAGTGATATGGAAGTCTCCCCAAGAATAATTTAAAAATGCTCAACAAAGGTAATTTCTGTTGAGTAAGATCCGAGCCCAAATTTGGGAGTTATGATGAATTGAGTAGGAGGAGCCCAATGACGGCAGCTCACTCAATAAAAACCTGTAACTTACTGTCCCAATTTGGAGGTGACTTCACTTGCAGAACAACGAAGGAAGAATCGCAAGTATAAGTTCAGATTAGATTGATCGCCTAATCAAGCCTCTCCGTGAACACGAATCTCTTAGTTCACGCTGAAGCCGCGGAGCGCCCGAAAGGGACTGAAGGAAGGGGACGTAGTCCTATCACTGGTGAGCCCAGCTCATTGAATCGTATTGCTGAGGCCAGCCTATTGAACCGTACTACTGAGGCCAACCCATTAAATCGTACTACTGAGGAATGAAACCATATTTTGGTATTTGGCTTCTCGGAATTCTAGGATTGTAAGTATATTATGAAAAATAACAGTATTGATTCAAATTTAACTTTTAGTTGTAATTGTAGTTGTTTTTGTAGCACTAATTCTTATAGCATTGTTTGGGAAGGAAGTGCATTTGGAGCATTGTTTCTGATATATGTAATTATTGTGTTTTTAATGTTTGTGGTGTTTCTTAAAGCTAAGCAGTGTTATATACGTAGCAAAGAGTTTTAAAATAAAATTGTGTTGTATAAATTAAGTGTGTAATCATTGTGAAATCGTGCAATCAGCTAACTACTCCCCCAGCCAGTGCATCAAAACGAATCAGTAAATTGTGTGGGATTTTCTCTATTCCATAACCCACTAGAGACACTAACCTTGAGGAATGGATATTTAGGGTGGCTCCTGGTGACTTCCCTTGCAGCTATTTTCCTACATATTCCACATTGGGTCTAATTTCTATCTCATAGGGATCTTCCTTTTTTATATCATGAGCTCATCCCAGCCCAAGGAGTCTGAGATTTTTGTCTCATTCTTTTTCGCCTTGAGAACATCACACTTTTTAGGTTTAGGGGCAGCTCTGGTGCTGGTTTTATAGTATTGCCTAAGTGTAAACACACCCTGAAAGATAATGGGCTAGATCGTCCACTGGTTTAACAAGATGTCCATTCACTGACTGCAGTGGAGTGGTCAGTTCCAGGTATGACAGGTATGCCTGGAATAACAGGCATGACTCTGCTTACGCCAGCAGAGAAGCTGGCCCACTATTTCTACAGAAAAACCAACATCTGGCATCCTGGGGATGTCTGGGTTTTGTGGTCTGGCTCATTCAGGAAGCCAGGTAGGAAACCTTGCTCTCCCCACAAAACAGGTTTGGATGCACTATTCACAGGGGTTCTTGTAGCATGAATTGACAGAGTCCTGTTTCCTTTGTGTTTGGCATACAGCTGGCTTTCACAGACAGCATATAATCCATTCTGGATCATGGGTTCAGCTGCTGAAACACTATCTCCTGTTTGAGGGGGTGGGCAGGGAATGAGGGATGGACACAATAGATGGCAGCCCACTGGGGTTGATTTGGATGCACAAAAGCTGTATGTTCCACAAGAGCTCTACCATGCTCTACCTTTGGTGAATATTTTTAATATCATTGTTTCTGCTTGTCTCTGTAGCACAGGAAACCCAGCCTCTCAACCCTACTTAATTCCAATTGTCCTGAATGACAACAGTCACTCATTACTCTACTGATTCAGGCAGTTTTGCCCCATCCAGCCAAGCATTTAGGTACATACCTGAATTTCACTGGAATCAGTGAAACATAAGGTCAAGAGTTCTCCTGAGCCTGAGAGCCCACTGGATTAACACAGCTCAGCCCCTCTGGTTCCTGTAGTCATCAGCACTCAAAGAAGTGATGTGACCAGCATCATGTCCAGCTGCTTCTACCTCCCCAGCCTGAATGCCCAGGTGCCCATTTACAGCTGGGCCACCATTGAGTGGCCTTTGGTATGTGTTCATGTCCCTTGCTGAACAGGGTTGTACTGAAGCACGTGTTTATAGATTTACATGCCTTTGTTGAATCAGGGTCCAAAGCATTATATACACTTGCCTTGCAAATGTGACTTTAACACATGCACAACAGGTGCTTGTCAGATATGTGCATATCCAGGTATTGAGAAGAGATACGCCTCTACTCAGGGCATCCCAGTAAAGGAGAGCTGTGAATATGAATGGATACCAGGGAAGGTATACCCTGTGGTGATTTGGGTCAGACAAGTACCATACCTTAAACTCATAGGACTCTTCAATAATGATTTCTAACTTGGTATGCTCTCCCAGGACTGGACGCCCAAGCTCTGCAATGCGCCCCTCTTCCTCCTCTTTGCTTGTCAGTGGCTGCTTCTCTTCATTCTCATCTGAAAATAAAAGGGCCAATTTTTGAGCCAAGCGCAATCTTTCTGCCACTGGCTTCTGTCAAAAGAAGCCTTGAACTACTCTTTAATCTGAAATCTCTGGAGCTAAGGCATAAGTGACAGACAGCAGTTAAGAGAAAGGCAGAGGCCATTCAGCAATAGACAAGTGCCTGTCCTGAAAGACTGCCTTCAAGCAATAGCAAACAAGGTCACTGGCTTGAAACTCCTCTGAATTTCAAATGCCTTCTAAATCCACCAGATCCTCTTAAATGTATCCAGTGTCACTGGGAAACATTTGCATTCTCATTCCCAGTCAGCTCTAGATTTTCATCTGTAGCTGCCAGGAGGAATTGTAGGTGAGGCTGGGTGAGAAGTGGTTTTAACATCCTGCAAAAAATTTTGAAATTTAAAAAATGTTTCTCTTTTGCACTGGGAAGAAACCAAGCAAAGTATTAAAAGGAAAAAAAAAACCCCAAAAGCCCCATCGAAGCAGTATCCCAAAATAGTGAAAAGTTCTGAGCTCATCTGAGAGAGAACAGGGTTCTACTCTTTGCTCTCCCTGATCCAGGCCAGACTGTGGCCCTGGGTCTGACGTATCCCAGATGAACATCCTAGCCACCATGCTGTTCTGTGGTGGCTCACATTCAGGTTCTTGTTGGAGCTGTTTTGTTTTGTGTAAATAATTACTGTTTTATTGGAGCAAGGACTTGAACCCAACCTTTTGCATCCCCAGGTGAGTTCTGGCTCCATGGGTCTGGGCAGGCAGCACTGCCCTACCTTACCTCATGTTCTCTGGAAGTTTTGTGGAAACCGATCTGTTCCCAAGAGAGTCTCAGTATTAGCACTTCCAGGAGAAAAAAAACACATTTAGGCAAGAAACTCCTGGCCAGTTCTAATTTTAGGGAAATAAGTGCAGTGAGGGATTTTTCAAGGCACACAACATTGACCTATGTCTGCTCCCAAAGCACCAACAGGGAAACTGCTTTTTTAACTTCAGTGTAGACCAACTGAAGCCTGGACTGTGAGCTCTTGAAGATACATCCTGTATACCCAAGCAAAACTAGATGGTGCATGTGGAAGGATTCAAGCTCTTCACTGCTCTACCTGTGTGTAACTGAAAATGAGGCACAGGTCTAGGAAATGGGCACTAGATGAGACAGGGATTCTGGGGGTAAATGGTCTGAAATCCTATCATTAAAGAACAGATTATATGGTGTATGAACACTGTGGGGATTTTGGCAGAGTTTCTGAGCTTGCATTGTCATCAATAAAACAAAGAAAAATGGCATAGGCCACAGTGGGTGCGCCTACATGAGATGCTGACTGTGCAGTAGCTTGATACTAATGGGTAGTAGCGTTGCATGGCAAAATAGTGTAATTTAAAAGGTGTTTGCTGGCGCTACCGTGCAATAACTCCGATTAGTGTGCATTTATTTATTACCTGCTTATACAAGTACCAAATAAATGCACACAAGTAGCCACTGCACAATAGCGTCTCATGTAGACATGCTCACTGTGATCAGTTAGCTGCACCAGTGTAAATCAGGGGTACATCTGGGATAGTCCCACTGTAGCCAGGTCTGGACTCTGACACCCTTTGAACTGTGGTGCTCTTGAGCATTTAGTGTCAGATTCTCTTCCATCTATTAGGCATGTAAGCAGACATGATGCGTAAGTGTGATTCTATTCCACCTTTTTGGGTCCTGGAAAAACAGTTAACGTACAAGGTGGGTGGGTCCTCCTCCTTCTCACTGTTTTTTTGTGACTCAATCTTAAGGGTCAGATGAACATGTTACAAAAGTAGCTGCAGTAATAGATTCTCAGGACCTGAGCAGGGTGGAAGGGAACCATGTTTAGGTGCCTAAGACCACTTTGATGCCCAGTAGGTGGAATGGAAACTGGCCTTTAATTTTCTAAAAAATTCTTGTTTACCATGCAACTATGACAGAACACTTGCGACAACCAGCAGCATGTGGCGCCTGCATTCGGAGCTAAGAACCAGGAAGAAGTGAGGTTGTGTTTTGAGCGTGTTGCTCCTGGTATGGCTCAGAGAAGAGAAATGAGCTGTGGGCCCAGGCTCTTGTATTCTGGGTGCTTTGTGGTCACTGTTTGTGCAGCAAATCAGGACACTGACAAGGCAGATTTTAGTGAAGATGAAAGAGCAGAGCAGGCAGACTTCATGCCTGTTTTGTGACATGGGATCACGGTAACTTTCCTAAAGTGCAAGTAACAGGTAAGTTCATTGCCGGGAGTTTTATTTGGGTTAAACTCCAAAATTCGTATCTGACCCTCAGCCAGAGAGCTGAATCCCTCTAGGCATGTGTCCTTTGCATATGAACCTCACCTCCCGCATCTCCCACACAATGGTTGCTCCTCCCATTGGGCACTGGGCACTGTCTGCATTTGGGACTTCCCTGTTACTCATGCCCTAGGCAGCCCAACACTACAGAAACACCCGATAGAGGGATGGCCATCAGCCTGTGGCTCCCTTTCTTTCCTTGTTTCTCCCTCTCAATCTCTTGAATTTCTCTTTTCTCCTCTTAATTCCCTTTTCTCTTTGTTCAAGAGTTGCACGGGCTGTTGACAGGTGTGGAAATACAACCAAAAAAGTTGCTAATGTGTCTGCTACCAAAGGAAAAGAAAAAGGAAAAGGAAGAACAATTCTAATTCCACAGAAACTCTCCATCTTTTTGCAAATAGAGGGTTTTCTGCAGCAATGCATCTCAGCTGGCATTGGTCATAACCTTCTTGAAAAGCACTGGCAAGTCAAATAAAGCTCTTGGATGCTGTATCATTGTGTCATAATGATGTGACATTATGATGTGACATTGTTTTCTTATTCTGTTACTGCACTGCATATCAGATGAGTCCATGCCAAGTTATTACCATGTCAACATGAGCAATATCTTGACAACACATATTCTCCCTAAACAGCCAGATGTGGCAACATATTGTATTCACTTGCATACCACACGCTTTCCCCCTCAAAATTTGCCCTCTAAAACTGTGGTGAGTTTTTAAAGTCAGGAAGCTGATTCCTGCACTGGAATGGAGGCATGGGAATGCTCAAATGGTTGCCAGGGCTTGTGCTGGGTTCTGTGCTCCACAGGGGAAAGGTGGAGCCCACTCATTGAAGTCATTTAGCTTCCAGCTGCAACTCAAAAAGCTTCAAGTTTAACCCCATCACAGCCCGGCTGAATTGGCAGTAGGTTATGGCTGCTTCAGCAGAAGCTGCTGCCAATTCAGCAGTGGCTATGACCTGAAGCTTTTCATGCTGCAGCTGGTGAGTGACATAAGTCAGGAGTGGTCAGCCATGGCGAGTCTGTGCTGTGGCACTTAATATTCTGGAACAATCTTTTTTTCTTTCTTTTCATTCTGCCCTCCCAAAACAAGGTGCATGCCTTATTTGGGGGATATGTGGGATGCAGGTAAAGATGGCCCATTTTTTAAAGTAACCACTAAAGGAAGGCAAGTTGCCTCCTTTCTTCACTTGCTCTGTCTCTTGGGACATAATGTGGAAGTCAACAGGGATGCTGGATATGTGAATTTGTCTCTGTGTGACAGACTCACACAGCATGAGAATGCAGCACATATGAGGAGAGAATCTGCTAGCCTGCCCACACAGTCAGCTGGCAAAGCAATAAAACTCCAGGGATTCCTTGAGGAAGGCAGGAACATTTGACACCTCATCAGAAGTTCAGAAGCAGAATATGATTAACGCATGCAGTGCCTGTAACTTAATTATCTGCACAGTTCAAAAAACTACATATATCAGAGCAGTGTCAGCACTGGAAAACACAAACTTTGCAAGTGTCTAAGACAGTTCTGTCAGCACTGCTGCACAGCAGGTGGGAGTTTCCACTGTTTGCATCACATTTGCTTGGAGCAAGGCTTCCCCTTGGGGCCACTCTGCATCCAGTGCAGTAGTAGTGTGGACAGAAAGCAACTGGCTGTGCCATGGATTTCACCCTGCCACAAAGGCTGGTGGCAGTAGAGTTGCTCTATTGCAATTGCCTTCTGTGGCATGGTTCCTTAGCAGCTTCTCTAGCTGCAAAAAAACAAAGAGTGCTTTCATGCAATACCCATTTTGTATCATGTGGACAAAACACACCCAATTTCAAACAACCAAAAAAACACAGCTTTCTGCAGATTATACACAGAGAAGAGAAAAGCCCAGTATCTTTTACAGGATGGGTTGCTATTCTTAATTATCTCTACAGCAGAAACCCCTTCTAGGTCTGCAGAGAGGAGGTACCTGCTATATGCTAGTGCTTCAGTGATTGGATGTACTGCAAGGGCAAACATTTGTCCAGGTGTCTGGTGTGGTCATGTTGCCCAGTTACAAGAGAGCTGTCGCCATAAACAACTGCAATGCATGGAAGCACAGCTGTCCATGGCAAACAGCAATGTGAATTTTACCTGTGCTGGGGAGGTGACATATGGTTCAGTTGTGAGGTGCTCTCCAGAGTGCACCCGGTATCAACCAAATACTGGGAGGACTCTTGGGAGGGATACAGCTTGGTCAAACTCAGTGGAAACTGAGGAGTGCACCAAGCAGGTGGCATGTCAGAATCAAGAGGGGGCTTTCAACCAAAGCACAGGGCACAAGTCACAATGAAGAATATAGGCATGTACGAATTCACTCAGAAATAAGAACCCAGTTTGTGGAGGGCTTTGCTAGGAATGGGCATGGACAGGGGTGGGCCTGTGCAAGAGAGAGGAAAAATAAAACTCACAGCATCTGACAGGCAGGACATGTTTACCCTGCCCAGTGCTGCAGAGAAAGATGAGCTGGCTTGTGCACTGAAACCAGTACAGCCATGTTCTCATGGCATGTGGCACAGGCTTATTTGCCCTCAGAACATTTCCTGCAGTTACAGTGCTCCTGGGACCAGCTCTAGCCTGGATACCCCTACAGCACACTGTTTGGTGCATTGTGGACATACCCTTAAAAGAGAAACAGAAAGCCTGACATAGCCACAGATGTAGAGGGAATGACCCAGATGAGCCGGAACTAGACTGAAAGTCCAAGTCCACTGGGTAATCTCCTTGGCATGATGCAGGACACTTAAGCAGTCTGACCACTCAAGGGCAGAACCATCTGCCTTAAACTCCCTGGGCATGTCAACACATGCATTTACTGCTCATTAAATTTACTGTGCAGTAAGTTACTGCACAGTAAGCAGTTTTTAGGCCAGTATCTACACGTGCAGGCATTAAAGTGCAGTAATGCTGTGTGTGGACTGGCTTGGGACTAAAGTTAGTTCCAAATCAGTCCACATACACAGTGTTTCTGCACAGTAAGGTGTCTACATGTAAGTTACTGCACAGCAACTAATCGGATGTAAATTTGATACATGCATGATGCAGGTATCAAATTTACACTCAAGTTGGCATAAGTCACCATATTTACTGTGCAGTATGGGTGTGCATGTGTAGACAATTTTTGGTTACTGCACAAAAATTTCAGTTACTGCACAGTAAAGGTGCATGTGTAAACATGCCCCATGTCACTTCTCTTTAGGGCACAGCATGCTCCAGAATGCTGAGGAGAAACCATTCAAGAAGTATCAGAAGGCCAGGGATACAAAATGATGCCAAGGTTCATTTCGTCAAGATTTTCACAGAGCTCACTAGAGTTTTGACATTCTTTCGTGTGAAGAATTAATTTCTCCAAGGACACCCCCCCCCCGTCTCTGCCACAGTGATCAGGGCTGAACAGGTAGGAATTATAGCTCTTTAAAGGTTTTCAGCCTAGAAGACTGCAGCTCCTGAATAGTGCAAAAGCAGCCACAATGAACATGTGTATACTGCTGCAATGCATGTTTGTAGGTGTATCTGCCAGCTAGTGTGAAGTGGGAGCATCACACTGGCTACAAAATTCTGCTGACTGTTCTGGAATGAGACCAATTTGCTCAGCCTCTCCAGGTATGAACACACTTGCCTGACTCCACATTGCCCTGTACCTGGTATGGCCATTCCAATTTACTCCTGCTCTACACTGCCTTCCTCCAATGTAAACCAGGCAAAGGGCAATGGAGCAGCACTAGCTCCTTATCTATTCAAACAGACACTATCACATGTATTAATTTGTGCATAGTCAGTTAATACTCACTACCTAGATATAGATATTCTATGTATCCATCTATTGCATGACCCCTGTACATAGAATGCATGTCCCCAGAGGTTTCTTGCAGAGGGTACATGTCCAAACAGGTCTCTTGTAGAGTGACCATGGTCCAAAGGAAGAATGCCTTAATGGGTGCAGAGGTTGGTGGGAAACCAGATGCAATGCAAGAAGGTCTGTCTGGAAGGAGGGAAAACCTGCTCAAGGCATGAGGGATCTGGGATTAGGTGGGCAAGGAAGGAGCACTGTAAGGATACAGGAGGATGTCTGAAAAGGAATGAGCCCCATTCTTGCACAGACTGCAAAATCCTTCAGTCTCTGATCAATAAAAACTAAAGGAAATTCACAGGCAAACAACAATGTTAGCCTGGTGCTGGAGCTGAAAGAATCTCTTACTTGCTTGAGTCAAAAACTATTGAGAGAGCAGGGATAACTCCATTGGGAAAGTAGGCAAGTAACTACAGAGCAAACAAACAAGGGATGAGATGGGGAATTCATCCTTTGAAATCTTCATATCAAGACCAGATGCCTTCTTGGAAGAACTGCCAGAGTCAAACACAGGTAATCAGTCCTAATACATAAGTAACAGGATGGACTTCTCTGGCCTCTGTTATACAGGTCAAATGAGATGACCTGATTTTAAAGTCTATTAATCTATGGTCCTTGCTTAGTGTCTTAGTGAAATGAAGATTCTGAAGTCACTTTGGCCTTGATCCTGCAAGGAACTTCACACAAATCAGGGCTGTACCTCTGCAGAAAACTCTGTTGACTTTAATATGAAAGATAAGATAGTATAAAAGAGATGTGTGTTAAAGCCTATAGAGCTCATGTCAGTACACAAACACTTCAAAGCTGTTAAGTTTGCATTAATTAAACTGTTGTCCTGGATAATCATCAACAAGTGAATACCTTGAATGCTGATTACGGTTGAAGGAAACGGATGTTCTCTGGCTTGGACTTTCCTGAAGACGGGTTTGCCTAGTGAACCAATCAAGAGATAATGAGTGGAATGGATCATACTGACTTGGTGAGAAGCCACCCCTGTGGTGTTAGTAAATTCTATTTCTATGTCACACACAGTTATTTTTTTCCCTAGGCTCCAAGTGCAGACTCTCTTAATGTCAGCTCCCCTTCATTTATGGGATCAAGTAGAGCTACGGATGAAGTCCTTGTCCTGTGAGTGTTCCAAGCAATCAGCTTCAGAGCCCACATGGCAACCTATGGAAATCAATTTCCAATACAAACATCCAATTTCAGACTCAGTGAAGCTGGAATAAGATTAACTGACTGAAGATAAAATTGAACAGTCTATGTCATCTTTTAATTTCATTTAACTGTTCCAATGTTCCATTGGCTCCTCAGAGGAATGGTATAAGTCTGATTGTGCTTCGCAGACAAAATGCTGGAGTGATAAGTGGTACATGAAGTACCTTACCAGTTTAAAAAATAGTTTCCACAGCTCAGAGTTTGAGCTCAACAGGCAGTGCTCCAGTCAATTCTCCCTTAACACTCATTGCTGTTAAGGGGGAGATTGTACTAGTAGATCAGTTTCCCCTGAGCAGCATTCTGAGAGTGTGTACTAAGCAACCAAAAACAACCAAAGGGCAACCATAATGATTAGGAGCATGGAACAAGCTGCCATACCAGGCAAGACTAAAAAGGCTAGGAGTCCAGTCTGGAAAGAAGGCTGAGGGGGATATGATAGAAGTCTATAAAATCATGAAGATTATGGACAAAGTAAACAGGGAACTTGCTCATCAAGTCCCAGAACTAGAGAGCACCCGCTGAAATCAGTAGGTGATAGGCTTAAAATTAAAATGAGAAAGTACTTTTTTATACAACATGTAACTAGTGGAATTCATTGCCACAGGAGGTGTTGGAGGCAGATAGCCTATCCAGATTCAAAAAAGGACCGGATACATTTGTGGATGATAGATTATTAATGGCTAATGAACAGAATGGTTGGAGATGTTTCCCCTGTTATTGCTTAAACAATAATGGTATATGCCAGGGAAGGTACTGAATAAGGGATAGATCACTTTAGAGCAAGGGTTGGACACAATTTGGCCTGCAAGCTGGATCCAGCCCACCAAGAGATTTTATTCAGGCTGTGGCTGGTCCCTCAGCCCTGATTCATAGAATCATAGATTCATAGATGCTAGGGTCGGAAGGGACCTCAATAGATCATCAAGTCCGACCCCCTGCATAGGCAGGAAACTAATGTCTAGCCTAAATCTGCTCTCTGCTAGCTTGTGGCCATTATTTCTTGTAACCCCCGGGGGCGCCTTGGTGAATAAAACCTCAACAATTCCCTTCTGTGCCCCCATGATGAACTTATAGGCAGCCACAAGGTCGCCTCTCAACCTTCTCTTGCGGAGGCTGAAGAGGTCCAGGTGCCCCAGTCTCTCCTCATAGGGCCTGGCCTGCAAGCCCTTAACCATACGAGTGGCCCTTCTCTGGACCCTCTCCAGGTTATCCACATCCCTCTTGAAGTGTGGCGCCCAAAACTGCACACAGTATTCCAACTGCAGTCTGACCAGTGCCCGATAGAGGGGAAGTATCACCTCCTTGGATCTGTTCGTCATGCATTTGCTGATGCACGATAAAGTGCCATTAGCTTTTCTGATGGCTTTGTCACACTGCCGACTCATGTTCATCTTGGAGTCCACTAGAACTCCAAAATCCCTTTCCGCTTCCGTTCTACCAAGCAGGTCATTTCCTAGGCAGTAGGTATGCTGGACATTTTTGTGTGTAGCCCAGTGTGGCTAAGGTGACAAGGTGGCTGGACTCAGCTCCCTGGCAGCCCCATCTCCTTCCACCCAGTCCCACTACCTGGGCATCCTGGCCTGTCTGCCCCGCACCTACCACCAGGGGTGCTAGATGGAGCAAGTGAGTGGGGTCTTCATGGAGACCAGCCCAGGACCCCTGCAGGCAGGGCGTGTTTGGCTGGGTGGATGGGATGGGGCCACGGGCAGGCAGGGAATGGCATCCAGGAACAGGATGGGTGGGTGGGGCCAGGATCATGGGGTGGTGACAGTGCAGAGCCATGTGGGGAAAGGATCGTGGTTCTGCCCTTGGCCCACACTGTCACTGCCTTATAATCCTGGGCCCGGCCTCAGCTGCTCATCCTGCTCCCAGCCACCACTCCCTGCCCACCCATGGCCCTATTCCATCTGTCCGGTTGAGTGCGCCCTGCCTGTGGGGGTTCCTGCCTGGTCTCCATGGGGACCCTAGTCACCTGGTCTGTCTGGTGCCCCTGGACCAGTCTAGTAATCTACCACTTAGGGAGCTTTGGTGAACTGTTGCAGGCTGGGGGAAGAGAGGGGAGGAGGGGTGCTGACCTGGCCCACAACAGCTCACCAAAACTCCCTAAGTGGCCCTCCAGCCCAAATAATCGCCCACCCCTGCTCTAGAGATATCTGGTTCAATTATCTCCCTCCATAGCATCAATTTCTGTCCTGTTGGAGAGAGGATATTGGGCTAGATGGGTCATTGGTCTGACCTAATATGGCATTTATGTTCTAAACCATGAAGACATTTGTGTTTCTGTGTCTCTGTTGCATAAGTACAGAGATCTGGCTGTTCCTGCAGGGCTCATGTACAATCCTCTATGAGTGCCCAGGGTGCTTATTTAAACATTTGTTTCTATTATTATTCCTAATGCAAGATGCTTCTTCCCTGCAACATGGTTCCTTAAGCCATTCTGTCAGCATGAAGGATGAGTAAAGTCAACAAGTCTCCATGATGGGGAAAACCCCTAGCTCAGGCACTTCCTTCTAGGATGCAAACTGGGAGTAACTGGTCCTTGCTTAGAGGAAGGGAAAAAGACCAAAGAATGACTACAATTTAGAAACTTTCAGCTGATGCAATGGTCTTCATGGTGCTTTTGTGACTAAGAATGATTAAGGTGCTACTTAAGCCCACGTCCACCTACAATCTATATTTCAAAATCTCTAAACCTGATACCAATGGCAGTCCACCCCACCCCAGAAACTGCTGCACCTCGGGGCATGAGGCTAAGCCTCCTCCTAGTCTGCCCCTCACTGCAATACATTCCGAACTCAGCTGGGAGTTGCAGGTTATATGTATAATAGAACTTGTACAATTCCCAATTCTTGACTTCCCGTCCTTCTGTACCATACTTCCTGTCTGTACAGCCTATAATTGCAGCCAATTACAATAGGAGACACAAGTAGGGGACAGACTGATGCCTAAAAGGTCTCTGCTCAAGGAATAGAACTGCCTCTTCCTCAAGCAGAGACCTTCTAGGAATCAGTCTTTCCACTACTTGTGTCTCCTTCTATGGTTGGTGGCATCCATCGCAAGATAAGATATAAGTGGGAAGGCAGCTCATATGGGCTTTGGCTTGTTGAGGTGCCTTTATGGTTGACCCTAAAAAGCAAAGTACACATGTATTTTGAGTTCTTGCAGGGCTGCTATAATTTAACCTGAAGGGCAGTACCTTGGACAGCTCAGAATACCGGGGCGGGGGGGGGCGGGGAGGGGGGGGTGGCAAAGGTGGCATGAACCATCAAAGAATGTATCTGAAAATGCTCTCATATTTGGATGATGTCTCCCATTAGCTAACAATCACCCAGACAATCTGCACAATGAGAAATTTAAAAAGTCTATAACCTACTCCCTTCTCCTTCTCCTCCCTACTGTAACATGTAGCAGCTCTGGCTGTGCCCAGCAATGACCCAAGAGGAATCCTTCCTTCTCTTTTATAGCCAGTCTCTGAAGAGAGAGACAGTATCCATAACATTAGATAAAGGGCTGATTTCTCAGGCAACCTTGCTGGACAGTATTCTGCAGTTAGCTCTACTCTTCAGGGATATGTTCTTGGCTGCATATCACTCTGTAGCTGTATTTCTCAGCCAGCTGTCTCCCCACATCATTGATTGCTGAAAGATTTGACATCAGTAATTACAGGAGATGATTCGCAGTTTCTCACTAATCTCTGTCTAATAATAAAGAAGAAAACCCTGCTAACTATTCTTGCTGATGAAAAAAAGCAGTGACAACACTGTTTCCCAGCATGTGGGGACACAGATCAAAACACTTGTCTTCTGCAGAGCCTGGACAGGTCTGGGCACCAACTGGCTTTGCTGGTGACTCTGGTGTGCCACCCACCACATCTCCACTTAGGAGCAGCAACGCCAGAAAATTTATTTTCTCCATCAATAACAATCGATGAATGGAGTGGCAGTGGGGGCTAGGGGTGTAGGGGCTCTAAATGAGGAGAGATCCTCCGTGCTTGATAGAAGGGAAAGATAGGGTTCCCAGGGTTGACTTTCCGAATGATATGGGAATCCACCACCAGGATTCCCACAGGCCTCCAGGATCAGCAAGAGGCCACAGCAACTAGAACACAGGCCCCATGCCTCCTATTACTGCTGCTTTCCCAGCACAACCCCTCTTCCTGGGCAGCATTGCAGCTCCAGGGAAACTGGTGTTCCAAGGTAGTCCCTTTGAGAGGGTTCCCCAGTGTGGGCAAGGACTACAAATTTGTAACACAGCCAAAGACCTGAATCTGGGGAAAAATCCTGCTTGGGAGGGGTGGACACCACTCTGGGGGAGACCAGAGCATGGAGAAGATACAATCAGGTCCCATATGTCTGGGGATGACCCTAGCTCAAACACCTCCTGCCCCCAGCCTTAATCCAGACTGATTTTATACTCACCCTCCCTACAGTCCATAAGGTCATTAGTAGGTGGGATTTCTAACCTTCCCTGTGCCTGCTAGAAACCCCAGGTGCTGCTGTGCTCGAGCACAGGAGCTGTAAAACTTTCTAGCAGACTGGGAGAGTGTTTTCCTATGGTAGGTATTATGTACAACATCCCACCAGTGGCCACCCTGTGTAGATCCCCAGAAGCTGGCCTGAGGGCCCACAGTACACAGAGTGATAGGGACTGGCATCTGCTGCACTCAGAAGCCACATGGGACAGGCTGTCCTAAGACGTAATCAATGCAGTGGGGGTCCCACTTTGGCTGCCTCCCTCAGGGCAGGGGAGAATAGGACTGTCCTTCCACAAGGTGCAGCATTCCCCACACAAGTGCTGTCATTCCACCCACTCTGCCAGTGGTACAAGCTTCACACACCCGTGAAGTTACGTGTGTGAGAAGGACACGGCACTCTCTGTTAGACAAGGTGATGTTAGCACGAGCTGCTCAGTGAGTGATGTAGATGTCAACAATCTGGGTAGGTTGCCAGGGAATCTGGCAGTCCTTTCTTACCGTTCAAAAGTTTCCCTCCATTAAATAGCAATCAAACAAACAGATAAATAGGAAATAAAGAGAAAAGAAAGGAGTGAGCACACAGCCGATAACCCTCTCAGAGAGGAACAGGGGAAAGGGGGAAGGGGGAGAGGGGGAATTAGAAATCCATACCTGTTATTGTGAAGCCACCTGAATGAATCACAAAACAAAAAGAGAGAGAAAGAGAGAAAGAGCAGATTAGCATCCTTTCTGCATTGCAGTGACCTGTACATCACAGTCACTTCCCTCCCCAGGGGGACCCGTATGTTCCCATAATGGGGTGATTGGAAGGGGTAGCTAACCACTACTGTACCAGTCTCCTGTGCCTGGCTGGGACTACCCCCTGTGTGAAGGGGCCCTCAGGGTGGAGTGTCTGTTACACCACTGTTCTTTCCCCCCATGCTGCCAGGCCTTGTGCTCTTTGGGTTCAGAGGTCTGCTTTCTCTGAAAGGGGAGGCTGGGCAGCCTTGGCCCTGGAGTCAGCAAGCCCTCAGGGTGTGTGCATGTTAGACCCTGCAGTAGAAAAAACAGTGCTTCCTGGCACTATATTCTCTTTGCTGTCAAGTCAGCTCTTTGGGGTGCACCAAGGTCAGAGGAATCTCCCCCCCACCCCCCACAAATGGCTCTATGGCTCACCCCCTGCCCAAAAAGCTCCAGGATCAGTCTCTGAGTGCTCTGAAGGAGGCCAAAGCCACTAGGGCATATATCTAATCTGCAGCTGCTCAGACTCTAAACTCTCAGCTGTTCAGACTCTACCCTGGTATTCATGGGAGCCAGGTTACTAGGCCTAGCTAGAGCTGCCCCTGTTGAGATGCAGCATGATAGCTCTCCTGAATGAAAACAGAGGCTCTACTGAAAAGGTAACAACAGTTCTGGCTGTCTCTTAACAGAGCTGAGTGTGCATTGTGAGGAGCACACATGTATGCATGTGTGTATGTGTGTTCTTCCTCCCCACCCCTGTATCAAACACATGTAGCCAGACTTCCCCACTCCTAGCACTGGTCATGGTCTAGTGAAGTGCCTTTGGCAGCATCCAGGTGGACAGCAGGGTTAGAGTTGTGGAGATGGCTTGCCCTACTCATGCCCATGGAAGGCCCTCTCTGAGCACAGACTGGGGTGGTGATAGGACACTCTTAACCCTGGTTACTTTCCCACTTGGTACTCTCTGACTGGTTCTACTGGGGCAAGGACTACATGTAGTGCAGTTTGGGAAATGTCAAGAATGTTAAGAGTCAGTGCAAAAACTGAGCTGTGAAAATTATTCACAGTCCTACCAGTCAGGTAGAAGAGGGATGGTGTTTCTTTGGGAGGCAGTGGGCATAGCTAGAATTACACCGATCAAGCTCTTAGCTTGCTTAGGCCCAGGGCATGCCACAGACCCACTGGGAATGTGCCTGGAAACTACTGGTGCTGGGAATGATGGAGCTTCCTCTTTTTAGTCTCAGTTCTTCTCCCTAGGACCTCACTTGTTTGAATCTTTGCCCAGTATGGGAAATTTCCAAAAATAAAAATGGCAGGGGAGGGAGATGAACTACAAAATTTATGCCAAGTATGAAGAATTTGGGGACTAAAGGGAGGGAATAAATTTGGGGAGGTTTGGCTGGAGAAGATGGTTTTCTCTACCTCCTTTACCTCAAAGCCTAGGCATGCTTAGATAGCCATGGGAACATGGCTGCTTTACCTACAGCAACATGCAGAGATTTACCAGCATTGTTACCACTGCCCTGAGTAACATTTTCTACAATCACTTGGAACTTCGCCCAGTGTCCATTGAAGTCTGCAAGGGCCAGATTCTATTTCTATATCTCTGATTACAATGGATATTTTATTTCTTATGATTATGTCATGGGACATGGATTAATTTGAACAGCTCAGTAACAGTGTAAATCTTGGAGACTCCTAGTACACTTTACTATGAATGGGAGCACATTTCTCATTGAAAACCTTCAGAATGTCAGCTGTAAATCAAATAAATCAACTGTATTGAATGTGGCCAGGCAGCCAGGTTCTGACACCTCACTCAGGCTTAGGGCTGCCTAATTCCCCAGATACTCCCAATGTTCTCAATGGTGTTACTTGCCAAGTAAGGTAATACTTGCTGCAAGTAAGGGTGACAGAATCAGACTCCATATGTGTGTGCTGGTTGACTGGAATTTCCCCAGGAAGCAAGCTCCAAAACTTCTCTAAAATTCCTTGCTGTAAGTAAAGCCACTTTGAATGACATTCAATGGTGGCCCTGTGATCTACCATTCCTTTAACACAAGAGTTTGTTTCTCTAATGGTCTTTGGAGCATATACTCAACATAAGAATGCAATATGAATTACCTGAGCTTATTAACAACTGTAAAAGAGAATATTATGAGCAAAAAGAAAAGTCAAACAAAATAATCACTGTCTGACAATAGCAAGATGAACTGCAAAAAAATGGAAAAGAAATACAAGAAATGCAGCGCTTACCAAGCTCATTCAACAACAGGGCTGTGAAGACAGACAGAGACAAACACAGAAGAAGAAAAGTAAATGAATAATGAAATTAAAAGGAACATCCACAGAAAGACTCCAGATCCCATGGCAGATAATTCATATCTGTAAAGTTGCAGGACAACATTAGTACCAAGAAAGAGTGCCAAAAATAAAGAACAGAAACATTTCATGGGTATAGATTGTGAATTAAAAAAAAACCCAACATGGTGATATGGCATAAAAAACACACTTAAAAATTCATTCTCCCCTTTGGGCCACAAACCCATGAAACTTCCATGGACATCAATGATAGTTCTGCCACAGATTGAGGAAAGAATATGACCCAAGAGATGTATACAAGGGTACTCTGCTATATTCTGTGACTTCCTTTAGCAGTCTAAATGCAAACAACAACTGCTAAGATGGCCTGATTTTTATGGGAAGTGGAGAATGAAAGAAGTACAGTTTGTACTGGGGCTTCACTCAAATAAAGTACAGCATTTTTTCTGTCACTTAAAAAAATGACAGTTGACGATCTGTTAAAAAAATAACTCTGTTAGCACTCATGTAGCTTTTTGGATCCTTCAAGCACTCAACACATTTTAGCTAATTGATTCTCACAACACTCTGTTAGAGGCTGGGAGCTATTTATTAGAGTGATTTTAAAGAGAGGAGGACTGAAGTAAAGAGGGGAGCAGATTGCTATTTTCAAAAGTGATTTTAGGCCCCTCCATTTTGAAGACACTGAGGCTTGATTCCAGCAGTGCTAAGCCTACAGTGGTGCCAACTCCAAGTGTTTGATGAGCATAAAAATAATGGCATCTAAAATATATATATACAGGAGGTTTTAATTCCTTTTTCTTTGTCTCTGATAGCTGAATCTTGAAGGTTGCACATTTCTGAATGGGTTAGTCTCTAAGATGACACCCTAACCAGACTTCTTTTCATCTTCAAGATTTTCTTGGTAACTGCAAGAGCTAAATACATTGTTTTTTAATGGGAAGTTAATAGTCTCTTATTACTGCCCAACTCCAGCAGCTGGAACTTTAAAATAAACATGCCAGATACTGCAAGATTCAAGAGAAAATCAAAAGAGTCGGTAACACTGAGCCTATGCAGCTCCACAGGCAGCCAATGGACACAGTATCAAAAATCATCAGTGTCCATGGCTCATTTTGTCTTAGCATCACTGTGCTATTCCCATAGGACATGTCCCATTTGCTGGGATGACAGTGCTTTCCACTACTGTGTCAAACTAAGGTGACTCTTCCACTAGTTCAAACTAGGCAATCACTTAAGACAACTGCAAACTTTATGTACAGGAGAGTTAAAAAAGTCTGTACAGGGGAGTTAAAACACTCTCACCAGTGAAATGCAGCATTGCTGAGGTGTCCTTTCGGTGCTTCACAAAATTGTCCGTTTTGTGTGTTAGGGCGGAAAGGGCTGGTCCTAGACAAGAGGCAACCCTGCTCCCTGAGTGAAAGGGGAGTGTACAGGAGAGAAGAAGCTTGCTGGGATGGTCAGCAGAACTGGATTTCACCAGTGCATTTCCCTGGGAGGACTGGAAATGTGGCCATTGTTTACACAAAGTATGCCAGGAGGTGGGCGCACCTTTTCCAAAGGCTGCTTGTGAGCCAAGTCTGTGCTCTCCTCCCTGATCCATTTATGCCTAGCTGGCATAAAGTGGTGGCAAGGTTGTTGGGAAATACTGCCCAGAAGGTATAAAGGTGGCCAAGCAAACATCCCACTGGTTTAACCAGGGAAGCTCAGTGCAGGGCTGAGTCACTCCTGGCCCTATCTCTTCTATGGAGAGCTCAATGCCAGGGTGCATCCCTTTCTTCCTTAGCACTCAAGCTCTGTACCTTCTGGCACTTGGCAGTGCAAATGTAACTAGCCAGTTAGGAATGTTTGTCTTAGGCAGGGCAGAATTATTTGGGATCATCTTTGTGCTTTAAAGTTGCTTGCTGAATTTTTTTTTCTCCCAAAGGCATAACTGTTTGTAGCCAAAAAAAAGGTGCATTTTACTTGCATCAAGTGGAAACAGCCTGGAGAGGATGCCTTGTCTGAGTCAGGTATTAAACCAGGCTACATTATCTTCCTCTTTTATTCTTTGTTCACTGGTTCAATTAATTAGTGCTTTTTAATATGGCAGCTACAAATGAAGAAACATTTCTTAGGCATTTGGATTTTTTTCCCCTGTAATAGGCTATTTTTTACATACTGGGGGAAAAAGAACTAAAAAAATTGCATTATGCTTCAGCCTCTGTACATCAACACTGCATAGACATAAAGTGAGTTTAAGCTTCATTGCCCTCTGGTAATCAACATGTTTCAAATTTGAGCAAGCAAGCAGCCCTAGGGAATGGGATTATTCATGTGCTTGAAGTAATACACAGGGCCCTGACTCAGGCCAGTATTTCAGCATGTGCTTGAGTCCATTCTGGTTCAGGAGAGCACTGAAATGGAGACTCTACTTTAAACAGATGCCCAATGGTTCTTGTGAACAGGGCTGTTTTCCTGAACTGGTCACAGGTGGGTGCTTTGCTAAATCATCTCACTGAACATCAACAGGTCATAACAGGAAGAATGTCCAGTATTTTTAAGTTAATTTCTCAGGGTAAAATCAGTTTAGAAAAGTAAGTATCCCTTTTCTTTCTGAGAATGTACTTCCAGTTGCTTTAGAGAAGTGGTTCTGTTCTGTGGGATGGAAGTGGAAATTGATTTAATTTCCCTTTTGAGGAGATATATAGAGCAGGATTCTGTAGTCTGTGCCTAATGGGCCAGATCCTGCCCATGAAGAGACTGGATCTGGCCCTTGGCTGAATGCTCCAACAATGGGAAAGGAGAAGGCGCCACCAGGATCCTAATTGCCTGCTCTTTCCTATCTATTCCCTTTGCAAATGGCTGTGGTCCACAGTGGGGACTGGGTCACAAGCAGCGGCCCATTGTGACAAAAGGTGAGCAACTCCTGGTTTAGAGATATGTCTCTTTAACTGGACCTTCCATGTAGTTTATTTATTTGCCTTCAGGTACTTTGACTACAATTTTGACCACAGAAGCCTTACTGGAATAATTTGTAGGGGCCATGATTTTGAGCTGCTTTGAGTTCTTTATACCTGTGTCAAATAGGTTAAAAGTATAACTTTAAGAATGTGATTTTTATTTGAACTTGCTAATCTCCCAATCAAAAGTGAGCAATGTCATTTTTTCATTAGGAAAGACTGGATTTTGTTAGATTAAACCCAAGTGCACATATCCAATTATACTGCAGCATTTTGAAATGTCTTCATCTTTTGATATGGTTTTAATGTCAATATCCTGGGTTCTTCAACATGGCTATGTGCTGCGCTGCCTCCTATTGGGTGGAAAGTGAGATGTAGGACACTTTCAGCGGCTAGATGCTGATAGATAGCCTTTGTCAAAAGCACTCCAGCAATATGTATGAACAAGTTGGTCTTCTCTGTCCATTGCAGGTTTTAGCAGGTGTGAACCATAATGATTTATTCTTAGGAGTGCTTAAATTCATTGCCTCATGAGTGTGAGCTTTTCACAGCTGATTGCTCAACAGCTTACCACAAGATGAGTTTTTATTTAATGCCAACCTTGATTGAGTGGGGCCTAATCAGTGGGAATATCATTATAAAAAAGGAACAAATAAATAAATAAACAACAACAAAAAAAGGAAAGTTGCTAAGCTTCAGAGGAGATATGGCAAAATATTTGGAAGCCAAAGTGCGAGGAGAGAGCAAGTGTGAGAGTAGGGAGACACAGAGAAAGCAGACTACAATTTCTCGAGGTTTGGTCTGGTTTTACTCTCACACCTTTCATTCCTCTTCGTAGCCATATTGGTTCCTCAAGCACAAGGAAGAAACTGCACTCTTTCTCATATTCCTCACGGTCAAGTATTTTAAGGGTAATGAATTTCCTGTGGGAACACAAGACAAAGGCAAAACAAATGGTTGGCTTCACACACTCATGCGTTAAATTCAACCAGGCGAGACAGTTATTGAGATGATGTGAAGGGAGAAGGCAGCAACACATCCTGCCTCAGTGATGTATGTAAAGGAGCAAAAAGCCTGTCACTGAGCTTTGGTGACTTTGTGATGAAAATGAGCCTATCAACAGACTGAACTCTAAAATGATGTAACTTGGTTTACATTGCTTGGTTTACATTACATAGTATTGCATGGAAAAAGAAATTAGGCCATCAGAGTGGGGGCTGGTTGGATATCTCAGCCAATTTGCTTCTGGATTATATTTTTCAATAACAAATAGCTTAATAACAAATATCTTTGATGCAGCAGGAAGTGGGTTGCACAGCACCATTTCAGTACCATACACTAAGGTCAGCTTCTCAGCTGACATCAACTGGTGCAGTTCCACTGAAGTCAGAGTTAGGGAGATCTATGCCAGGTAACAATCTGGCTCATATTTTCAGTATTCAACTACAGGACCCCACATCCAAATTCAAAGTGTAATGGCATGGTTTTTTGTTCAGCTCAAGGCCCTGGTGACTTGGCTCCTGCCCTTTTACATAGACAGAGGAATGTGTACATCAGAGTCTACGTATTGCCAAGTGCCAGGCATCCATGAGTGATGAGGACAGGCACACGCAGGTTGGGCTCAGCCTCAGAGCAGATCCCCCACCTTTCTTCTCACTCATCTCCACCAGACGTGGCTCCCCAATCTCAAGGTAGAAGGTCTTGTTTTTCTCATACTCCTCATCATCAATTATTTTGACTGATATTGTTTTGCTGAAACAGAGAAGAAGAACAGAGATTGAAGAGTAAGGGGGGAAAAGGAAAATAAAGGAGAAGGAGAAACAGGAAAGAGGACAGAAATGTCAAAAGGTTAATTTGGGAGGAGAACCATCTAGTAATTCTCTCAGGGGGTCAGTTAGTTTCCATGCACCCACAGCATTCTGCAGTACAGTTCATGTATAATAGCTATGAGCATGTTAGAAAGGGAGGCCTCGCTTTCTGACTGGGATAAGTATAAGCCACTCTGCTGTGAATTATGTATCTAGCCCCTCTGGCCCCATAGCTGCCTTTGGCCTGTATTCTTCATAGGCTGTGCCTCTGGGCCTTCTTTACATTATGCAACTTATGTATGGGCTCCATGGAGGGGGCCTGAGGGAAGGTGAAATGGACCCCTCTGTTGAGTCTCTAGGGCCTTCCTGTCAGGGAGATGTAGAGAACATGAAAAAGAACTGGCCTTCTGGCAAGGTAGCCTGTCCCAGACCAAAGAGTGGATAGAGGAAAACCAGCAGCAGGCTCATCGGTGCTAGAGAGGGAAAAGCAGAGGTGCTGGGAAGAGAAGAGTAAAAGAGATCTTTTCTCAGAAATCCCTGATCTGGGCTCTACTGTATAGAATGTAAGTGTGTGTGTGCATGCATGTGTATGTGTGTGTGTAAACACATATGTACACACACACAGAACTTGCACATGTGGTACTAGAGTTCCAGCCATGTCAAAGTGTGTCTACATAGTCAAGGAATCAAAACAAAGGCCAGGCCCGATACCTGCCTGAATCTCCATCCCTTCTTTCTCGCACAGGCCATGGCAAAAGCAGACAGGTTCTGTTCATTTTATACTCTGGACACCTGAGGGCCCAGCTCCATGACAGAGGTGTCTCTCCAAACACCGATACATGCCCCATCCTCATGTGGCCAGTGAAGCCTGCCCAATTAGATCCTTCTTTTGACAATGCAGGCTGGCTAGGGTCACAGAGTGCTGGTAGGTCCTCTAGTATCTGCTGTTGCCAGGTCATGCTGATCACCACTGGGCCCAGGTGAAATCCTTAAGCTCCTCTCAAACAATGGAAGTTTTGCCTGTGTATGGACTGAGGAGAAACTGAAGGTCCCATTTTACCCACATCGTTGGCCCCATTATCCCCAGCAGATCCGTTGAGGGGATGAGTTCCACCCCTACAGCATACTCTATATGTCCCTCAAGCCTGGACATACTCAGTTATAGGGGAGGGCTGTGAGCCAGCTGGACTCCAACTTATGGGGAACATACCGAATGGCTGCATTAAGCTTATGAAAGTATTGTGTTGTAGCCCCTGGAACATAGCTTATTATCAGGGTCTGGAGGAGCCAAAACCTCCTGCCAACCTCAGGCCCATAGGGACTCAAGCATATCCTTCACAAAATCACAGCGAAGCAGGGCTGGAAAACATTTCAGGAGGTCATCTAGTCTACCCCTGCTCAAGGCAGGCTTATCGACCATCCTAGACAAGTTGTCTAACCTTTTCATAAGAAAAACGTCATGAACAACCGTCACACACAACTACCAGGCAGAGTGTCTGAAACATCAAAAACACCCTAACTTGCCACAGGTAAAGCATGGGAATGAGGGTGTCAATATCTTGCCACTGCAAGAACAGGAAGCTGTTGTTAAAATATGCTCAATAGGAAGAGGGCCATACCCCTGCTACAGAGGAAGGCAAAAACTTCCACAGGTCATGCCAGTCTGACCATGGGGTAAAATTTTCCTGAACTCAAATGTTCCTAAGCAGAGGAGTAAGAGTAAGACCCTCCAGCGAGGAAACTTTGTTTTGTTTTTTTATCCTAGCAAGAGCATCAGCACACCTCAGTCAAAGTCCCCAGCCTTGGCTGCAGCCAACACCCCAATACTTCTGAGGAAGGCTAAATAAAACCCCAGAGGGGGTTTGTACAGTAGGGGAGTGAAGTACTCGAAAGCAAACCTTATCCTTTGCTAGACATGTTTGGAAAACAGGTGCTCACCAGCGAATGTTCACCAAGTTTCATCTCCTTTAGGCAGAGGGGAGGGCAGCAGGGTGGATTTGATTGAAATCAAATTGATTTAAAATCATGATTTAAATTATGATTTAAACTACTGGTCAGGAAGCCTCGACTTAATCATTATTTTCTACAAAAAGTGCATTCTTGTTGTTTGGTATCCTTTATTCATTTCACTTCTTCAAACTTTGTACTTTTAGAGAGAGGTAAGGGCTTGATTCTGTGTACACAGACTTGCAGAGAGACAAGAGGGCTCATGGGTAGGTAATCAGATCTGTTATCTCTCATCTCCATATACTGCTGTTAATAAGGATGTTATCTCTGGAGACACGAATCTACAGTTTGAGAACTGAAACTAAGCATCACAGAGACGCTTAATGGGATCTTTGAGACCAGTGGTTCTCAACTTTTTTTGTATCAGGACTCCTTTATAAACATCAGTGGCCAGTCCCAACTCAGTGCCCCTCACTCCCGACCTGCTGTCCTCCACCCCCAGGCCCCAGTCCCCCAGCGTGTGGCTTATGGGGCAGGTGTCTGGGGTGGGTGGCCCAAGCAGCCCCTTGCAGGCTTGAAGTCTGCCAGCTTGCCAGGGAAAAGCCACAGCTTCCCTGTTTTTCTCCTTTAAAGGAGAATCCATTTTTAAAGTTTGTGACCCTTTCATATAGTCTCGCAACCCACTTTTGGGTTGTGACCCATGGGTTGAGAAACGCTGTTCTAGACTGAGTACTGAGTCCCATTGGGTAGAGTGGTTTTCTTTAATCTTTACTCATCTAGAGAGGAGCCTCTGGGACCCCATAAGATTGGGCCCCTACTATAATCCATGGCCTGTTGTGACCTATTTATAAAACTTCTATAAAAAGGTTACATGAATATGTTGTCTCAAATAATATATAATTAGAAGTTATAATCCCTATTCCATGATATCTTTGAGCTTTAACGTATCTTAAATTAAAACTATCTTTATATAGGTTTATTTTTTTTTAAAAAAGCATCTTAACAAAAAAAATCTGATTAAATTAAAAAATTTGATTTAAATAAAAAATCTGATTACATTTTTTTTAATTGTTGATTTTTATCCACCCTGGAGGGCAGGACTGTGAGTGAAGACTGGGATTTGGCCCAGTGTATATGACCTAGTGTGAAACATGGACCATTATTTCTCTAGCTTCTGCTCTATCCCTTTAAATATGGCTCTTGGGAAGGGTTTGTCACTGTCACAATAAGAGGCCAGGACAGTCGCACCTAATTCACTCCAAACAACTCTTCCCAGGAATGGCTGAGGATCTGGGTGCAACATCCTTCACAGATGCCTAAAACCACAGTCAGCAGCAGGCAAGTATCTAGAAAGGTACAAAAATTACCTGCAAAACATACCCTCAGTTCCTCAACACCCTTTGGTGCTGCCTAATGCCTTGTGACCTCTCAGGTTGGCACTGGTTAGCTTGAGTTATTACTTATTAGAGCCTTTACTAGCACAAAGATTCCTGGCAGCTGTTCATCCATTATATTTTTCTGTGGCTTCCATATTTCATTTACACTTTAAAATGGAGAGAGCTTAGATCTGCTTCTGGCCTCTTAGTAGTGATAAAGGCTAGATAAAATCCACAGGTTCTGGGTGACACTCCAATGTTTGAAATAAATTAATAAACCAACCTCTTGAAGCTACAGTGTGATGTTTAACCTAAGCACCTATATCAATGAAACAGGCAGGTTCTGACAAATCTATATATGAGATGATGGTCAGTTGCTCTGTTCAGATTTTGAAGTTATCAGTTTTATAAGTCCACATGTAACGCTACACTTACAACTTTTAGGGGTGCACCAATCTATCGGTTGGCTATCGGACTGGCACCAATAAAAGGAGAAAGGATGTTATCGGCCATCGGCTTTTTTGGTCATTGTATGCATTTCCCTGAGCAAAAGTGGTCGTAAATAGCATGTGGGAATTTCCCTCTGTATCCCCTT